GCTGCCATAACCCTTGGTATGCTTTGACTTTCATCTCGGGGTTTCTGCTGGCCTGGTTCTGAAAAAAATAGCTCCAGTTATTCTGCAGAGAGGAGGGGGAAACTCTGCATGTATTTCAGAGGCATTTTTCTCCCTGAAAAGTTCCAGAGAATGTTAATGCAGTAACTGATGTGGTGAATTGGCGTTGCGATGGAGCAAGATCCATGAGTGTGTGCGCATGCGTGCATGCATGCACAATGCTGTGTGCCCAGTCCTCCCATTTGACATATGTAAATACTCCTCTAGGGACTTTCTAAATTCAGCAGCTACCTGTGAGCACTTATAAATCTCCTCCTGTACATTTTGCACCTGCTTAAGGGCAGTTATGTGCAAGTTCTGAGACTGAGTGCCAGAAGTGGAAACTGGTACTGAGTCTTAACCCAAACTCGGTGGGCCCAGGTTCTGCTTAAAGTTCTCCTGTGCAACATTAAACAGCGGCTGAGATGAAAACAGCTCCCTATACATCCTGTGGAGTGTGTGTTTGTGAATTTATTCCATCTCTCTAAGTTAGTAGCCCAGTTTCTTAGGCACACTGTGTTAAGGAAGGGATTTGGCCCAACAAAAAAGAACACTGCTTTAAAGATAGCAGTTGGCAAAGGAAAGGCTGTGAACGTTAACTTCTCTTTCCAGTGTGAGTTGCAAACTGGGCAAGCCAAAAATGTCTCTCTGGGTCATACAAGCTCTCGGGGGAAACTTGAATATGCTAAGTAGAATTGTTTGTGAATGAGCCAATAGCAATGGCGAGGGAGGCGCAGGGTACAGGCAATGCTTTTTTTCCCACAAGTGGGAGGAGGGGTGGCAGCCAGAAGATATAAGCACTCAAACAAAGCCAAGCTGTCTCTCTGAATTGTTCACATACACTGGATAGCGAGGCCCGGTTCTGAGAAGAGGGGAGTCATGATTCTCACCATGCCTCCTGGTAAGGTTTTATTTCTTAGGGGTGTGGGGAGAACAACATGCAGACTGAGGGAAATGTTGGTGTGTATAGACCTCGGTTCTTCTTCAGCAGTTGGAGTCCGGATTCCCCCTTGGGGGTATGAGAGAGAGTATGTGATGGAAAAGGAATTCCTTCATAAACTGTCCAAGGACGCTTGCTCTGCGTACTCTTATCCTGTTCCCAGAAGCTGGAGGTGTGGTAAAGGGGCAGTCTCTCATTTCAAGGAGAGGGGAGGGCAGTTGTCCAAACACGGAGACCCATTTGTACTTAAGACTGAGAACTATCAAATTTTTAAGGAACAAAGCCTTAATAAATAATGGCACAAAGCCTTCTCTGGTTTTTGTGGAGCCTTTCTGTGATTTGACTCTTTGCGTGATTAGAAACAAAATACTTCTCTGAAAAGCAAAATTTCACTGGACTTTGAATGCCCCTTACAGTACTTGGTTATAATGCCTTTTTTTAAAATCTGGGTTTTGTGGTAGAGATTACAGATAGGTTATGTGGTTAAAAAGTCGGCAGTATAAGCTCTGCATTTGAGTGGATTCATTAATGGTACAGGCAGTTCTGGTAAAATGTGTATAATGTTGAGGTAACAGCTAACAGCCTGCACTTGCCCTGTGCCTGCTTCCCCCCTCCTCTAGTGGTGGTTGCTGTAAACACTGTGCCTAGATATGATATGAATAAGCTTTACTTTCCATACCTGGGACATTATCTGATCTACAGTAATTTGCATTTCCATACATATGCTGTCATAATTTGTTCTCCCCAGGGAACCCTGGGAACTGTAGTTACATGAGGTGACTGGTTTATAGAAGGGAACAATAACCCAGGGTACAAAAAAAGAGAGGCGGTGCTAGCTTTTGAATTCTCACCCTGTCATTACATGAAGTTTGAAGATGCTCATTACCTGGAAAGAGCTGGCATGTCTTGTGAAAACAAAGGTTAACTGTCTGGGTTACAACCAGGAAACGGTTTTGCTGCAAGGTTAGCATCCCTCTAATGAATAGCTTGGGAATGTTTTCTTGTACGCTCACTGTGTACTGTTATCCTACTGATATGCCACTTATTTATTTGAAACGTTTATGTTCTGTCTTCTAATAGTAGCTAATGCAGTGACTTCATTTCTAAGAAAATCGTATAAAAATCATCATCATATATAGTACATTAAAGCCAGAGTGATGTAAAGAAAGGTTGGACTTGGGGGGGACCTGGGTTTGAGTTCTGATTCCAGAGGGGTTGCCTTGTTAGTCTGTTGTAGCAAAATAAATCAGAACAGTGTATCTGAAGAAGAGAATTCTGATTGTTTAAAAGCTCATGGAAGAATAAATTTTGTTAGTGCTGCTGGGCTTCTGTTTTGTTCCAAACTCTGACTTCGTCATGAAGTTTCCAGAGCTCTTAGCCTAAGCTACCTCACAGGGTTATTATGAAGATATAGTGGGGTGGGAGAATTGTGGTACCCTCTGTCTGTTGGAGGAGTGGTAGCATAAAAATCTAATAAATAAGCAGCTAACAAGTGTTAGCTTCTCTTGGATGGATGTAATGGTAAGGATGTGAATGGTATGGCTGTGTTGCTGCTTATTTAGCTTCCAATGTATCTGTGTTGCCGTGCAGAATTTATGCAGTTTCTGGACACAGGTTTTGTATGCTTTAAGGCATTAAGGTATCCTGGAGTTATACAAACCAGTGGTAGAGGTATTGTACCACAAAAAAGGGAAGTACTTGAAACTGTTGCATTTTGTACTTTGCAGCCCATTTAGAGAGAACAAAGTTAAGCCTTTGGAAAGGATCATGTTGCTTAGAGGCAGAGTATTTGTATGGACCATATCAAGATTCATATTCTTCTCCAGTGTCTGTGACTGCCATTCTTTAAGAAGTATGCTATATGCTGTCACTTGAAATACTTCAGGTTTTCTTCTTGTGGGCTTTATAGAGTTTCCCTTCTCTATCCACTCAGTTGGTGGAATACCAAAGCGTCAACATGCCCAATGACTGCACACCTTATGATTCACCAGTTGTCAAGATTGATGGCTTTGCTGGGTGGCTTTTAGAACTTGGGGGGTAACTTTTGCTGAATGGCAATCATTTTACATACGAGAATTGAGCTTTATCAGTCTAAGCCAGGAACCCAAACCTGCATCTCTAGAATCTCAGTTCTAAAAGTGAACCATTGTTCATGTCTGCATAACTGAAGATGTCAGATTTCATACTTTTAGGGCTATTTTGGAATGAATATGGAAGGTTCCAACATATTCTGATGGTTCCACTTTGTATAAAGAACGTTTTCTAATACAGAAGCAGGGGTAGCTTCATCCACCTGCCCACAGTGCTTATTTGTTTATTTGGGAAATATATAAAACCCTCTTGAGATGGCTCACAAAGTAGAAACAGCACCAGAAAATTATAAAAAACATCACTGTAAGAATTTATGTATATATAAAAAGGAGGCCTAAAAATAACATTCAGCAGCCTTTACCAATATGTATAAAACAGTCCTCAGCCTAGATAACTGACCATTAAGAAAGTTTTTAAAAAGTTAAAGGCATGGGTTAAAAATAAGCCCTCTCTAGCCTAGTGCCTGAAGGACACTTATGGAGTTGCCGGGTGAAGGAGTACATTCCAAAGGAAAGGGGCCACCACTGAAAGAGTCCTGTCTCTGTCCGCCACCTGACTCACCTCTGCAGGTTAGGGTACAGTGAATTGGGCTTGGGCAGAGGATTTTAACTGGAAGGCTGGGTAGTTTCACATATTAAAGCCATAGGTTATGTTCATACTGTTAAAGTAAAACATTTTTGGGTTATTGTGTCTAACTTTTCACATCATTTGCCATTGGAAATAATTTTATACTGTTTGTTTCCTTAAAATTCAAGTTCTTTGGCTTCATAAAGACTTAGTCCTTTTAACCTTTTGTGGTCTTTCTATAAGCTTTTTACAGTTCTACTTTTAGTTTAATAAGCTGCCATCTTTATAGGAAACAAAGGGAGAATCACCCATGGCTTCCATTGTGTCTTGAGGTTTACAGTGGCACTGCTTTTGCTGGGGCATAGGTTTTTATAAAATGACTTGGGCGGGGGGGAAGCATTTTATTTTAAATATGGATGCCTTAAGTGGTTAAGACGCTGAACTGCAGGCTGTGGAAGGTCGGTAGTTCAGCAGTTCAAGACCCGGGTGCCGCAAGACGGGGTGAGCTCCTGTCTCTAGTTCCAGCTCCTGCCAACCTAGCAGTTCGAAAGCAAGAAATTGCAAGTAGATAAATAGGTACCACTTCGGTGGGAAGGTAACAGCGTTCCGTGCACCTTGGTGTTTAGTCATGCCGGCCACATGACCACGGAAATGTCTTCGGACAGCGCTGGCTCTTCGGCTTTGAAACGGAGATGAGCACCGCAACCCTAGAGTCGGATTCGACTGGCTTTCGAGCAAGGGAACCTTTACCTTTACCTTTTTAAGGCTGTTTATAGCTTTCCTGTAAGCCAACTGTCTTCCCTACTTCATTAGTAATGATTAATAATACCTAGTTTCGTTAAGAACAAAATGAAAAACTTAAGCTTTGCTAGTTTCTACAGACCCCATTGTTTTCCCTAATGCTACTTGATTTAGAGGGTGAAATAATTTATAGCTTGTTTTGTGACACAAGCAATAGTACTTAGTAAAACGTAACATTAAAAAGGATTTGATCCATGAATGGTTTTCTTAGCTGGAAGTAGACTCCCCTTTCCTTTGCTATCCTGATATTGCAAGGTCTTTTTCTTCCCTGCAATTTTTGAAAACTTTGTGGCCTCTTTATTTTTGCATGTCCTTTTGGATTTGGGGAAGCATAGAAAACTAGAATCAAAAAGCTAGGAGTGAGGATTTTGACTGGGGGGGGGACGGGATCTGAAGCACCTACAGACTTGGGCCTGTTGTAACAGCTGATCTGATCCTTCTGCATTTCTAGAGCTATTTATGGTAGATTAGCTGGTATCAGAGCTTCACTGTTCAGCCCATAAAAGGTTGGCCCTGTATGATGTTACCACACTGCATTTGACTCAGTCCTCTAAGGCTCAAGAGCCTAAAGTTTTGTGTGGAGGAGTCCCAATAATGGATGTGTACAATGCATTGGGGAATTGCTCTGCTGAAGATTTCAGGTGTCGAAGAACATTCAGGGGGAGACCTTTGCCAATAACGTTTTGCTCCAGGCCTTCAATTCTTGGGATATAGCCTTGGCACTTGTATCCTGCTTGCTGTTGTGCACATCGTCGGAAAGCACCGTTCTAAAAATTCATCCAGCTCTGAATCATCTTGGCTGCAAACTGTACTTGCGAAGCCTACATTGCATGCTAGTGACTTGTGTGATGTGTCATTCCTGTTTTTTTTTCTTAGCACCTGAATGTTTTGTGGTTTGGAGAGAAATTTTAGTTGAAACAAGGATCTTCTGAAGTCACATGGTTGGATAAGAAGTTTTAGGAGAACAGATTTCACTTTTATTTGTGTGTGTGTAAGAAAACCCCCCTCTTCCATAGACATAATTTATGGGAAAATCCAGGACTTAAAAAAAATACATCTTTTCGAAGTAAGTAACTTTTTTCTCAGTTTGAAAGGAAATATTTTCAAATTGTTTGAGAATGTTTTGAGCTTGAAATGTGAGTGAGGTTTTCTCCCCTACCTTGTGCATGTCTGTTATTCAGATGCCCGAAAGACATCCTGCATTTTTCTTGCCCTATTTTTCACAGTGGGTGGAAGGTTTGCTACTTCTGATGCATTTTTCGTGTGACGAGTATGGCGACTGTAAATGTGAATTGTGTTGGGCTGCGAGATGTCCATGTGATACACCAGGAGGCAAACATTGCAGAAAATATATTCTGGGTTATGGAAGTTTATATTTCTTAATATAAATGGCATCAAGTTTGTCATTGAATTTTAGTTTGCATTTGAACTGCAGCATGCTGTTCTTTGAACATATTGTCAATTGGCATAGCACTAGGCCACCTTTCAAATTCTGGCCATGTTAAACATCAGTTTTACTTTATACAAAACTCTTTGTTATCATCCTTATTGGGGTGGCCCTGGGAGCGGAATAACACTTTGGAAAAAAAGATCCTTGTTATCAATTATCCTTAGTGTACTACGGCGTAGCTTCTTATGCACCCTTATGGACACGATAGGGTGGTTCATTCTCAAATGCTAAAGGTTTCCCTTGCTTGAAAGCCCAGTTGAATCCAACTCTAGGGGGCAGTGCTAATCTCCGTTTCCAAGCCGAAGAGCCAGCACTGTCTGAAGATGTCTCCGTGGTCATGTGGCCAGCATGACTAGACGCCGAGGCTCACGGAACGCCGTTACCTTCCCACCGAAGTGGTACCTATTTATCTACTTGCAGTTTCTTGCTTTCGAACTGCTAGGCTGGCAGGAGCTGGGGCCAGAGACGGGAGCTCACTCCGTCACGCAACACTCAAGTCTCGAACTGCTGAACTACCGACCTTCCCGTCTGCAGTTCAGTGTCTTAACCTCTGAGTCACCGCTTATGCTAGCTTATGCTTATTCACTTGGCGCGATGGCCAGTACTGCGTTACAACTCTGTGTCCCCGGGCTTAGCCTAGTTACTGTTATTTTTACCTTTGTTCCCCCACCACGACCAGTCCCTAACATTACAATGTGGGTATGATGATATTGGCTAACGTTACAGAACAGTGAAGACTACTAAATTGATGTAGTGATGGGATTTAAATGTTTGCTGTAGAGCTCTTGGCTCCTTCCTCTTGGTGATGGGCACTTTAGGGCTCCTTGGAAAACATTGGTCTTGTGCAAGCTCCTGGTGCCAGGATGCAAGCTTTGCAGACGAGAACAGCCTCCATAATAGCTGAAGAGAAGTGGAAGCAAATTACCAGCTGTGGCAAATTGAGGCAGGCCTTTCACCATATTATGTGAGTTGGTAAAAAGAAAGCAGTCCAGCCTTTAAAAAAAGCTGGTCAAGCATCAAAGCTTGCTTCAGCCCTTACGTGTCCTCCATCCACACCAGTAGCAAGGTGCAAATTGCTTCAGTGTGGTGCAGTCCACTGATGAGGGGTCAATTCTCATAATCAATTGTAAAATTCATATGTCTCTTGGCAGCCTAGTACCACACTGTGTAGAAGTGGCTTCCATGCTGTGGGCGTGTGAAATACACCTGGATTTTGCTGAAAACAGACTCTTGTCTTTCCCCCCAACTAGTTGTGGTAACTACAATTCTTCCATCTCTCTCTCTGGTCCAGGTCCTGCTTGTCTGTCTTCTTTGGGAATGAAATATTTAGGAATGTTTTAGGAGGGCTTTCTAAACTAATATATAACCTGTTCTTTTTCCTTCAGTCTATCCTTGGATTGACCAATGTAATTACTTCCCAGTTGTACCTGTGCACACTTTTAAAACCTGTTTTAAGGAATAAACTATTGCTTGTGTTCCGATTATTTGTAAAACCAGCACTATGTATGCAATTAATCAGTTACCTGTGTGGTGCGTGCTGACTGGAGGAAACTAAAGTTACAGTCCTAGGGACACTTACAAGAGAATTAAATAAGACTGACTTCTGAACAGAGCTATTTATTTGTGCTCTCTAGAACTTAAAGTGCAATCCTGTACAGAATCGATAGGTTTAGTCTGGAGTAATTGTACATAAGATTGCCCTGTTTTATCCTATGCAACTTTTCCTTAGTGCTTCCAAAGCATACAGTATTCTTGCACAAGACTTCTCATTGATACAGATGCTATGAATAATTCCCAACTAGTCTATTGTCTTATTCCCAAAACTAATGGTGTGGGTGGCCTTTTTAACGGGGGGATGAACTAATGATAAAAGTCCTCACATAACAAAATCTTCAGAGCAAAATAGGAAAATGGCAATTACTTAATCTGCCACACGTGAGAAGAAAAGATAAAAACAATTTGTCAAGCATGAATAACATTTTCCCCATAGCACTGTCTTGTTTTTGTGTGTTCCATCACACCCATAACAAAATATTGCTCTTGGCAGGAATACTCTAGATAAATGCCCAAGGGAGTTGCAGTGCTTTATATACTAATCAAAGAAACACAGTTAAAATTAATGATTCTATGATGATGCTAAACCTCTGAACACAGACTGTGTAAGAGAAGAAATAGCAGCCTGTCATTCTGCCACTTACCCGTAAGCGGAGGTGAACTCTATATGAGTGAAGCACTTGGAATTTCCTTTGCAGGGAAAAGCAACGACTTGATTATGTGCTAATTTAAGGGCCTGTCTAACATTATCCCAGCAACATGAAAGGCAGCATGATGTGGCTCCCTCATACCTCACTGAGGTAAAGTTGGAAAGTCGAATTCTTGGGCCTTAGGTGGAATTATCCAAATAGTGTCCCCTCCAACATGCTAAGAACAAAACTAAATAACTAATGATGTCCCCAGTAATAGCCAGTGTGGTGTACTGGTTAGAAGAACAACAACAAGAAGAGTTGGATTTATACCCTACCCTTCACTTAGAGTCTCAAAGCGACTCACAATCTCCTTCCCTTCCTCTTCGCACAACAGACACCCTGTGAAGTAGGTGGGACTGAGAGAGCTCTGAGAGAACTGCTCTTGAGAGAACAACTCTGAGAGAACTGTGACTGACCCAAGGTCACCCAGCTGGCTACGTGTGGAGGAGTCAAGAATCAGACCCGCTTCCTCAGATTAGAATCTGCCACTCTTAACCACTACACCAAACTAATATCTGGGAGACCCAGGTTTGAATCCCCACGCTACCACGTAAGCTGAGTGGGTGACACTCCTAAGCCCTTCCTCATGGGATAAAATGGAGGAGAGGAGAACAATGTAAGCTGCTTGGGGTCCCCATTGGGGAGAAAAGTGGTGCATAAATAAAGTAAAATAAAATATGGCAGAATCTGATCCTTTGCCTGAAGGTTAGGATTGGCCCTGCATAATGCTGTCACTCCCAGAGGTGCTTCTGGTACCCCCTCCCACAAACGTTTTTGTACTACTTAATGTCAGCCCTGGGACTGGGACAATGAGCCTAGAGAAGGGCTGTGACATGAGCCATACCATACAGGGCAATCCTGTGCAGAATTACCCCAGTGAAACCCGTGGGCATAGACTAGAATAAGCTTGCACTGTCAGTCTGTTGCATGCCCACCAAAGCAAATGAAGATTCTCCCATGATGTGACAACTTAAGAATGATGTTTTGTACTGTTTTTATTAATGTTACCTGTTTGGAGGGTCCCAGCTATCCAGGAGACAGGCAAGTTTATCAATGTTACAAATGGAGTAAAAGAATCTGGGCCATATCTGTATTGTTGCTCTTCCTGAGTTTGGTCAAAAACTCTAAAAGAGATTAGCACTGTGTGGTCCTGAGTAGCATGTTTAATCTAATCTGCGGGCTTTGCCCTATCCCCTTTTGTTGTACCTGGTTGATCATCTAAATAAATGGGAAGAACTAAATGCCTGCTGGGATTGTAAATGATTCAGCCGTTCTGTTGTCATATGCAATCTTGTTTGCCTAATTTTTCAGCCCAGTATGTAGCCAGAATGCTTATAGTAGATACCGGTTTATAATTATTGGTAAAATGTGGTGTTGGGAATATGCCAGTGTAGCAAGATCCTCTGTGACTGCTCATCTTCCAGAAGCATTGCTGGTGGTGACCAACACTTACCCTTGACTTTCTCCATTTCCTCACTGGAAAAGCATCTACCTTCTTGCCAGACTGTGGACATATTTTCTTGCTCTTTTGAAAAGTAGTAGGTAAGTGCTGCTTTTTAAAACTCTTAACATAATAATTGGAAAACTGTTAGATAACTTGTAAAGAAAACTTTGTTTTTTATGTCTGTATGCTGAGAGTGAAAAGAATGTATTCCCAGTGAAATCTGTGTTAAACATCTAAGAATACATTGGTAAATATACGTAAGGTAATTCTGGACTTGGCACCTTTCAGACCAACGAAGTAATTCTGGGTATAAACTTTCGTGTGCATGCACATGACCAACATGGCTACTCACCTAAATCTGGAGTTCTGTGATATTCTTAACCATAAACATTTTTGGAAAAAAGCAACATATAAAGGATGATCAGTGGTCTACAATTAATATTAGAAGTGAATGCTCACATTCATAGTTCAGCATAGAATTTGGTTCATCATAGTAATGTGAACACTGAAATTATGGCATAGTATGCAAATATGTTTGCATTCCACATAGGCGAATGAATGTCAGCCAATTTGAGCCATGCTGTGGGGTCTAGAGACTGGGCAGCTGAGAACTTGTGCCACAGTTGGCCCAAGGAACAGGTTTGCATTACCTTGCAATGAGTTTTTATGAATGTGACCTACCACATTTGTTAGATTGTGTAATGTTGTCATAAATCTAGGTAAAACCAGCTCATGCTAGAGCCGGGGGGAGAGAAGTGCAGAAGTAGACTGATGGGGTGCAGCGCACATAGTGCTGCATGGTTATGGATCACATCCCTAGACTTGTCAGCCAGCATGCTTTTTGTGTAGTGTGAATATTTTAGTGCAATGAAACTGGGTGGCTCGGAAGTCACATGTCAGTCTTTGACAAGGCACCTGTGGTTCTTCTGATGACCATTCCCCATGACACCAACCCCATGTTCCAGAAAAGTAAACAACTTCTTTAGAAATTGGGATAATTCTGTCATTATTATGGGTCCAAGATAAAACCTGAGTGTTAATTTTAGAACAGAACATCACTTGTCTGTGATGAGTATATCGAAGTAGTGGAGATGTAGGAGTTCTGTGTTAACATATGCAGCTGAATGAGGTGGTGCAGTGAAGTATTCTACTGTCAAATACTACTCTGGAAAAGAAATTCCTTGCAAGGAGAAAATGTAACACAGAGAGAGGTTCTAACCATATCCTTTCCTGCAGAACTAGAGGAAAACATGAAGAGAACCTTCAGTAGAGTTCTAGAGAACTTGAAACCTTACGCAGTGTTTTGTGTCGCAACTCTGACTTGGAAGCTGTTCTCTTTACATAAGGGCTAGCTAAGGTTTATCTAGTGGGGAGAGACAGTCTTACATGAACAGAGGACTTGGTTGGTTATAAGAAAATTGTATTATAGCTATGTATTGTTTCTTTTGGGGAGGTGTTAAGGGAATACAGTAGTCACGTGGCTCTTTTTGTTGGTGGGAATTGTGCATGTGGCAATCTGCAAAGTGAGTACCATTGCTTTAGTGTGTGTATTAAGTTTATGCAGCAGTTTTACATATTTTGATGGGAGTGGAAACCTGATGTCAGGGAAGCGGCTCATATGCGTATAGTATGATGTCAGCCGTTGCAGAAATCCAACTAAATTATACATGAGTATCTAAATTTGTAATTTGAATGTAAACTTTAAAGGTGCTACAAACCTGAAGCATGAAACATCCTTTGAATTAAACAGTGGGTTCTGTTGCAATCTACTTTGAAAACATAGAACACTCAATATTTCATCCCCCCCCCTTTAGAAATGAACTGGCTGTCATATGAATTGCTTATTTTATATCTTTTGATTATGGATTACAGAAACTTAAAACTATTCGTGTTGTTACTAGGATGGCTTGCAATACTGAACTTCACAGAGTGGTGTGTCATAAGACTTTATATAGATGCTGCTGCTTTTGCACCAGTTCCTGGCAGGCTTTGGCGGTGTGTTGGAGCAGGCTGGACTTGTCAAAACAATTGGCTGAACAAACCTTACAACTGAATGTGAACTGTATTTAAAGGCTTTTAGACATTTATTTTAGACATTCATACCCTGCTTTTCTCCTCAATAGAGGACCCAAAATGGCATACGACATCATTCTCTCCTCTTCCATTTTATCCTCAACAACAATTGTGTCATGTAGACTTAGACTACAGAGAGTAACTCACTGGATGACCTTGGGTCAGTTGTCATGGCAGAGTGGGGATTTGAACCTGAGTATCCCAGATATTAATCTGATATCCTAATCACGACACCACACTGGCTTGAATGATGCTATTGATTTAACCTCAAAAACATAGAAAAGAGTACATTAATAGTAGACAAGAAAACGGCTTGGGGTGATGGTAGAAGTCAGATTACTTACGTGGTAAGCATCCTCATTTTCAGCAGGGAGTCTAAAACTCATGTTGCATACAACTTACATCTCAGCTGCTGTTTGTAAATCTATAGAAGTGGCTCAGATAAAAGGGTCATTTACAGGCTCCTTACCATTTGATAACCTTAACTGAATTCCCCATACATATATACATTGCACATGCAAAACGAAGAGCTAAGAACTGAAGACTCTGCCATTTTACTGGCAGATTAATGCCATGTAAAATTAAAAGTTAGTGGGGGCCTTGTTTCTGAAACTTGCTGGAAAGCGGAAGTCTGGCTTTGCTTGCAGGTAAGGGTAGTCTGATCTTGTCAGATCTTGGAAGCTAAGCAGGGCTGCAGTAATTGGAAGAGAGTTGCTATGCTAAGGCAGGCAATGGCAAATCATCTGTGTTTGTCTCTTGCCTTGAGAACCCTACAGGGTTGCCATCAGTCAGTAGCAACTTGACTTCACTTTCCACCACCACCACCAGTATTTACAGTGTGGGGTTCAGGAACCAGCCTCAAGAACATAGAAATCATTGTCAGCTCAAGCTGTTCGACCACCCCAAGTAGGACAGGTCTCAGGACACCCCAGTGAGGTGCAGGGTGGCAGGGTGGACCTGAAGGGAGACCCTCATCCCTCCCTTGCGGCTTGGGTCCAGGAGGGGCAGCACCTCTGGAGTCTGAACCTTGCAGGAGTGGCAAGGGTGGAAGACAGATGTTCAGGTCAAGAGTTGCAAGGGAAAGTGGAGACCCCTTCCTTGCTACCACTGTGATTATTTTGACAACCTTTTAATATTTTTACTGCAAGTTGGTCTGCTGGCTTGACTTGTGTATGCCCTTTTCTTTTGAAAAGGAAAAGTGCTTAAAGAGTGTGCTTAAGAAGAAGAAGAAGAGATTGGATTTATACCCTGCCCTTCACTATCCGAAGGAGTCTCAGAGCGGCTTACACACTCCTTTCCCTCCCCCTCCCCACAACAAACACCCTGTGAGTTAGGTGGGGCTGAGAGAGCTCTGAGAGAACTGTCCTTGAGAGAACAGCTCTGACAGAAGTATGGCTTGCCCAAGGTCATCCAGCAGCTGCGAGTGGAGGCGTGGGGAATCAAACCCAGCTCTCCCAGATGAGAGTACGCACACTTAACCACTACAGCAAACTGGAGAACTACATTATCTTATTTATTTAAAACATTTTTATGCCGCGTATCCACCCAGTCAGTGTCCCCAAGGCAGAAAACATAAAAACCCCATTAAAATGTGTATACCATTAAAAATACAGTTGAAATTATAAAATAATTCAATTAAAACATATAAACAACACTAGAAGGGAGGGCCAGTAACCATTATTGGGGGCATGCCAGAGGAAACAAACAAACAAAAAGTCTTTACCTACTGGTGAAAGACACCGATAGAGGAAGACAGACAGATCTCCCTGGGGAGGGAGTTCCAGAGTTTTGGCGCCATGATGGAGAAGGAGCTTTCTTGGGTCGCCACCCATCTAGGTTCAGATGCTGTGGGCCACTGAAGCAGGGCCTCTGAGGATGATCGGAGGGAGTGGGTAGGTTTGTGTGGGAGAAATATAATAAAGTATTTCAGAACAGTTTTCCTTTAATGAGTCCTTGAATGTGAATGACTTGCCAAGGCAAATGCATTCCTCCAGTCCTGGTGACCTACCAGGTACTTAGTAAGTCCCCCTGTGTTAGCTCTCTGCCTAGAACTATAGAAACAGGAGGGTTGTTGAGCATCTGCCATGGTTGATGGGCTGTTTTTGTGGGACATCTGTTTTCCTGGCCTGTGCAGGTCACTTCTGCCCTATGTCTTGCTGTAAAGGTCAGGCAATGTGAAATGTTATGCTCCGTGTTCTAAGGATGGGAAAAAGTGGGATAAAACTTTATCTGAAGTGGGGTTAAAAAATTGGTGTCTTATTGATCCACCAGTTTAAAAACAAAGGGAAGTTTTCCTCATTCCTGAGAAATAAAACAAGTTCTGTATAAGAGATTCAAACTGGGCAGAAGTGGTTGCTCTCTGATTTTTAGAAAGCTTTTTTGTCATGTGGTGTGAATTACCTTTTAAACAAACTGGCTCGTCATTGGTCTAAATTTTGGAGGAGACTGGAATAGCCAACTATCCCATTTTCTCCTGCCGCAGAGAGAGAGATTTAAGAGGCATCTTAATCACAGATGAAGTGCTTCTGTGGTCCCTGCTGTAAAATGAACAGAAAAACGTGACGTTATGGTTTGGAGGAGGAAAGCCCCGAAAACATCTAAAACAATAAAAAAAGAGTTTCTGAAGGGTCCATGTACTTTGGAGAGTTTAGGATTGTATTATATAGCTTTAACGGTTGTATAAAACTTCAGCCGTTGAATACAAAGGGCTCGTTAATATGGGCACCAAGATTTCAAATCTCCCTCTGTTTCACTTGGCAAGTGCTACAGCGCTCATTACACTTCCAGACACTAGCTGCTGCCGTTCCACTGAAACCAGCGTGGTTAGATGCAGCTGAAATGTGCTGGCAGCTGGTCACTGGCACTGCAGATGCTAGTTCATCTGTCAGTGCGGAGGTAGAGCCCCACAGTGCCTTGTTCTGAGGTAATGGCTTGGATGATAGAATATGAGTAATCTTATGCAGAGCCCCTTTCATGTAGAAGAGCAGCTGGGATTTAACATTGGCCTAAATGGTATTTCGTTGAG